GCATCGTGTTAGCATGGATTAAAAGAAAAGTCGGTTTAAACACCTTTGTACATAACCGTGTAAGTGAAATCGTAAACAGTACTAATGTCAACGATTGGCGACACGTCCCAGGCGAACAAAATCCAGCAGACCTGCCTTCAAGAGGGTGCTCTGCAAAGCATCTTCTTGAAAGTAGATGGTGGGAAGGCCCCGATTGGCTTAAGGCATCACCTGAGGAATGGCCAGTTTCAAATATCACACCAAACCTAGAAGAGGTATTAAAGGAAGTCAAAAAGAGTTGCTTACTAGTTCAACATGATAAGTTTTCTGATCGTCTTTGCTATTTCAGTAAGTATACGAAGATTGTTAGGACAGTCGGTTGGATGTTACGATTTGCAAATAATAGTCGGCAGAATAAAAATGAAAGAAAAGGAGGCGAATTAGATGCAGAAGAGTATGCACAAAGTGAACGTTGTATACTAAAGTTATTACAATTAGAATATTTCTTTAATTTTGAGAATTTATTTACACAATTTAGATTAGAAACTTTTATAGACAGTTATGGTTTAATTAGAGTTAGAACGCGGCTTACATTAGGTGAAGACACATACAATTTCAAATATCCGATCTTAGTACCGGGTCAGAGTGTCATCACTGAGCGACTAATTTTTGAAAAGCACGTGCATAATCTTCACGCCGGATCACAAACCTTAATAGGTATCTTACGTGAAGATTATTGGGTGATAGGTGTTAGAAGATTGGCGAAACGGGCTGTACGCCAGTGCGTAATTTGTAGACGCCATAGCGCTAAAGCCTGTTCAACGCCTAACCCTCCATTGCCAGCGGACAGAATACACTGCGGCTGTGACTTTGAAGTAACTGGCATAGATTTAGCGGGTCCTTTGATATTGAAGTCAGGGTCTAAATGCTGGAATTTTATTATTTACATGTGCAACATATCGCGCGGTACACCTTGAAATCTGTACTTCGTTGAGCACCGAAGATTTTTTGTTAGCGTTGAGAAGATTTATAGCAAGGAGAAATAAAGTCAGGGTAATATATAGTGACAACGGCACTAACTTGAGAGGTGCTAGCAACCTCTTCAAATTCGTTAACTGGGAAGAAGTGTCGAATTGGATGTCATTGCAAATAATTTTATGGCGCCATATACCTCCTGCAGCGCCATGGTGGGGAGGATTTTGGGAGCGACTTATTAAGGTTGTCAAGGAAACGCTGAGAAGAGTACTTGGCAAAGCAGCCCTGCAACTCGACGAATTGGTCACAGTACTCTGCGAAGTTGAATTTTTGATAAACTCCCGACCCTTAACATACATTGCTGTGAGCAGTGAGAATGTGGTCCCACTTACACCTGCGATGTTCTTGAACGTAGGGTCGACTAATACTTTCGACACAGATTTGTTTGGTCAATTGGATGGCGCTGTTCTGACGGCTCGGTGGCGCTATCTAATAAAATTGCACGACGACCTAAAGCAGCGGTTCCGAAGCGAATATTTATCTTTACTAGCTCAAAAATCATCTGTCAAAAGAATACAATATCGGTTAAAGGTAGGTGACGTCGTTATTGTCGGCTCAGACGATAAAAAGAGAGTTAACTGGCCACTCGGGCTCATTTTAGAGATTATTTCCGGATCGGACAACCAAAGTCGGGTAGCCCGCGTCAAAACTCAATCGGGAGTGTTGCTTAGACCGTTTCAACGGCTTTTTCCCTTAGAGGTTCCCCAGGAGCGATGTACCACATCTGCCGGTTCTCTCCCGGCCCATAACCTCTCAATTCATAGCACTACAGAATCGTTCGGTCCACAGATAAGAGCGTAGTCTTTTGTTTTGTGATTATGTTTTTATAGAAGTGTTATGTTTAGTTACTTTTTGTGTTGCGTAACGCAAGGCGGGGAGGATGTCGGGGACTATCAACCTCTTTTTTATACTTTTTTTATAATGTTTGAAGTGACGTTTTAATGTAAAATAATTTTGTTCTTTTTTGTCTGTCAATAAAAATCGTTTGGAAAATTTGCCAACATAGTTTTTCTCTCGTCAAATATTTAATTGTTTTCACACAAGTTTTAAAATACTTCGAATGCATTTCGTAATGATTTTAAAATAAAAACAAAGAATTCGATAGGTATCCAAATACAATTATTTTTACTAAACTGGTGAATTACATCCATTGCGTTTCCGATTTGCGTGAATGTAACAATATAACGCGGAACTTTACAACGGAAGCTAAAAATAATGACGTTACATTATCAGTACTTATATCTAATTGTAAGTAATACAAATTGAAATCAGAAATAGTATGCATTCCAGTGTTATAGGAAAAACAAAAAATAATAGTTGTATAGATGAACGTCCACTACAATTTCAATAAAGGACATTGCTCGTTCCCCATACATTGTGTTCGGAATCATTCATAAACTCTAATTAGGCATTTGTTGAGATACGGACAACTTGAGGAACCGTGGCCTACTATGATCTCTTATCTATTAGACAAGTCCCCGTCTGTCTGTGGTGCTGTTTCAGCGGCCAAACCGTAAGAGATAGATAAAGAGAATATTTAAGTTATAAGTTAAGAATAGTCTGATAAGACTACAAACCGGATTTGAGTAACGTAGCACTTCCGGTTTTCGAGAAATCACGAATTTCAAACGAAACCACACAAAATCTCCGAAGTTCTCAATTAATTAAATACATTTTTTTTTTAAATCAGGTTTTGGTGAACATTTGGTTCACTGGTTTGCTAGTTAATTGCTAATAAGTTAAAAAAATAATAGTGAAGGACATTCATTTGGGCATGCTAGGGCCGATTTCGTCGATGTCCTTTATTTTACTGTTTTGACGATCTCCGTGGCCAAATGGTTTGTACGCTTGGTTTCATGGTGTCGCCGACTCGAGAAGTCCCGCGTTCGAATCCCGGTGGGGGCAAATGTTTGTGTGATAAATACGAGCATTTGTACTCCAGTCATGGATGTTTAATATGTGTTTCTATATAAATATATATGTATTGTATCCGTTACCCTAGTATCCCACACAAGCCTTACAGTGCTTACTTTAGGGCTAGGCTAATTGGTGTGTTGGAAATAAAAAAAAAATACAAAATATGTAACAGCTAAAATATATATGATCAAATACATTGACCAAATAGGGTTGCCAGTCACAAAAAGTTGTACAACTCACAAATTTTTGTCCGATAGTCACTAATCAATAACTTAGCAGACTGGTTGACTCATAGCGGATTCTGTAGGAGGACATTATTTTTAGGTAAAAGATGGCAAACAAACACATAGCCCGCCTGATGGTAAGCGGCCACCATAGCCTATAGATCCTGGGTTCCTGACCTGGGGGTAATTACCCCTCCGGGGGTAAATCAGCCATACTTTGGGGGTAACAAAGTACCTATAGTCTACTCACTTTGGCCTGAGACAAAATGTAAACAAAGAATCTGAGGTTCTTAAACTTTTTTAGAAAATGCACGCTCGCGTCGACAGTTTGATCGGGAGAGTAAAGATGGCTGACGTAAAAACCAACAGATTATAAAATACAACATTTCAACGTAAAATACTTATATCATGTCTACTCTTAAATTTTGTCGTATTATAATACGTCTTAGATTGGGAATGATTGTGTTTTTAGGTCTTTTTCCATGTCAACTGATGTTGTTAAAATACTTTTATCAGCAATATAAAAATATACTAATTTATGATGTGTATGTATAATAAATATATGTATGTAAAATATTTTATTTTCTTATTCAAACCAGCTTTTAAAAAAATTAACCTAAAGTTTCACTGCATTTCCTATGTAAATAGTTATTTAATCTTTACTTTTGTCAAAAGTGACCTTAAAAAGTATCCTTTTTATGGTTTGTTTACATTTTGTCTCACGCCAATGTATGTATAGAATACACTATAATTATTTGATCAAATCTAAATAATAAGAAAATACTATATAATAATACTACCTACTAAATAGAGCATGCGCTCCTTCTTGCTAGCGAGCCCGCGGGGTGCTGAGTGTGGGAAGCGGGGCGAGATTTCCTCCTGATGATGACATTATTAGAGACGAAGATGTAGCGGCCAAATTGGAATTTCTTGGACTGATGATAACATTTTAAAGTCGGGGTAAAATCTGTTCTCCTAATAGGTTACAGGGGTAACAGTATTGGAAAGGTTAGGAAACACTGCTATAAATAGTTGCGATACAGATTATAATACTCGCATACCGTTGCTCACCCTGATTCCATCCCCTACCCTTTAAAATCCTGAAACCTTACTGACCGTCTTTTTTTCCTCCAACTATCTCCCGTTTAGTTGCATACCCGTCGTCATAATGTCGTATTTTGTCATAACTTACATTCAACATAAATATATAAATAAATATTTCCAACACTCACACCAATTAGCCTAGTCCCAAAGTAAGCACTGTAAGGCTTGTGTCGTGGGATGCTAGGGTAACGGATAGAATACATATATTGACTATATATAAATATCATCATCAGCCTATTAATGTCCACACTGCTGGGGCACAGGCCTTCCCGGTGGATGGAATAGGGAGATGGGCCATGACCAACCTCGCAGGCCCAGTGCGGATTGGTGGGTGCTAACGACTGCAGATGCAGCCGGGACCAACGGCTTAACGTGCCTTCCGAAGCACGGAGGAGCTCGAGAGAGAGAGCTTTTTGATCACCCATCCAATGACCAACCACTGCGAAAGTTGCTTAAATTCAACGATCGCAGCGGAACGCGCCAATCACTTGCGCCATCGATCTCCTCTCGATATATCATAACTCGATAAACATCCATGACTGGAGTACAAATGCTCGTATTCATCACACAAACAACTGCCCCCACCGAGGAACGAACCCGGGACCTCTCGAGTCGGCGACACCATGAAACCCGGCGTACAAACCACTCGGCCACGGAGGTCGTCAAAGATCATCAGAAACATCTTGTTGTACATTGTGGATATGCAATAAAGAATTGAATTGAATATTTGTTAATTTCCAGAATGAATCCCTGGAAGAACTTACTGCACCTGGTGACGTCACTAATCCCGGTGGGACTCATCGTGTCCGCACTCACGCCCAGCATCATCACCGTGCACCCCGCCGACCCCGCCAACCAGTGAGTGTGTACCCAACTCATTAGCACTCACATTATAAACAACTGTGGCGGCGACAACTATATGCCCCACAGATAGACAAAGGATGGAGGAAATCATTACTCACCATCCTCAAGAGATGGCGTTACCTGCACTGCGATCAATAATAGTATGGAAGCCTACATCACGCAAATGAAATTCGGAAGTTAACTCTTCATATATACGATGCCCGACCAACATCAGTCGGGCCGCGGCCCCCGAGCTAACATCACCCAGCTCGGAGGAAGATCTTCCCCTTTGGCCTTCCTACAGAACTACTAGCAGTGAGTCGGCTGCGTTTCCACAGCTATCAGCAGTCTTAAATAAAATTATCTAACAGCATTGCTCAAAATACACACTCAATGTGTTTTGAGCAATACTATAGAAGTGTACATACTTGATGTAATCTATTTAAATAAAACTCAAAGGTGACTGACTGACATAGTGATCTATCAACGCACAGCCCAAACCACTGGACGGATCGGGCTGAAATTTGGCATGCAGGTAGATGTTATGACGTAGACATCCGCTAAGAAAGGATTTTGATCAATTCTACCTCCGAGGGGGTAAAATAGGGAATGAAAGTTTGTATGAAACTTTTTCAATTTTAAACCGATCGGGCTGAGACTTTGCATGCAAGTATAAGAAGAATCCTAGATGAATGTCATTGTGTATAATACAAGCCTGAGAACAAAAACTGTAGTCTACACTTCAGCTCTACACCGAAGCGAAGCGAGGGCGGGCCGCTAGTAATATAATAATATAGCATTTCTTTTCTCCTCACAAAAGGTGTAACAGTACAATAGGTAACTAGCTTAATCAATACAAATACATAAACCTATGATGTGGGAGACTGGTGCACGTAAAAGGCAACTACGAATACCTACCTGTACTAACAGGTCACCAGGTCATACATAAACCATACGTGTATTGCATATCTTAATGGAAAATTAAATACCTACTCCATGATGTATTTTCAGCACGAGGTTTGCTGCGCGCTCTGTGGAAATCTTAGATTAAAACAAAAAGGGTGGGTAGATAGGGTACGCTCATACTAGCATCAAATAAAATATGATTCGACTCAACCACATAAGCAACTCTCGCCACGCACACGTCTGTATATCTTTATATATATAATTCTTCTGTGAGTGTGTATGTCACTGAACTTCTCTTAAACGACTGGACCGATTTTGATGATTTTTTTTGTGTGTGTTCAAGGGGATCTGAGAATGGTTTAGATTCACAATTTTGTCCGCTGGACAACCCCTATTTTTTTAGGGCGGTACAAAGTTCGCTGGGTCAGCTAGTAAACATATAAATATCAATCGAGCAAGCGAGACAGAACTATACGCTGCAACGTAGCATATTGTTATCCTTTTCTTGCTTACAAAATGGCGATTACGTAAATAATATTCACGACAAATCGTGAATTCTGAGAAAAAAATGTTTTTCGTAAAACTACGAATGAAAAGTGTTGCCGGGGCATTTGATTTTGAACTTTTTGTGTTCTTTATAAAAGCATCGAAGGCATTGTTTGTTATATCTTCCTAACACAGAATATACGCAATATTGTTATATTGAGTGTACATGCAGCGTGTTTGAATGTCAAATTGTGACTAAAGCGAATTATGGTCGTGGACCACAATTTAATAGGATCACTTTTGAGCCGCGAATGCCGTATCTTCCCTTTTTATTTTAATCTAAGGTGGAAACGCGCCTAAAAACTTAACATATTCTACAGAACAACATTCATTGTTGGTTTCGCGAAGGGTACATATTTATTTTGATTGGATACTAATTTACCTGACAATTTAATTTTATTCTAAAGTCCGATAAATTGTAGCAACGCTGTGCCACCCCGAGTACAGTAAAGGGCCCCATATACGGAACGATTCGTCGTTGCGATCGATCTGAAGGAAATCGTCAACGATCGATCGTTCAGAAATGCCACTACATACACGAAACGATTGATCGTAACGATCTATCATTTACTTGTTTCAAACAGTAGGATAAAGACGTACTCAAATAATTCAATACTCTAAAATGGAAAACGAACTCATGATTGCATGTACGATATTCATGATTGCATGGGATTTGGTTGCGATTTGCGATATCGTCTTCGATTAAGTAAATCGTTAACGATCTTGACATACACTGTCGATCCATCGTTTCGATCGGTCTGAAACGACGGATCGTACAGATCAATCGTACCGTATATGGGACACTGATGATCGATCGTTTACGATATTCATGATTGCATGGGTTTTTGTTGCGATCTCCGATATCGTCTGCGATTAAGTAAATCGTTAACGATCTTGACATACACTGTTGATCCATCGTTTCGATCGGTCTGAAACGATGGATCGTACAGATCAATCGTTCCGTATATGGGCCCCTTAACATAACCGGCGGAAGTGCAATTCTCGTGACCACACGCTCATTCATTTGTCTACGTCCGTCGATCGTCTCGTGGCGTATCGACTAATTGCAGACTAATTACTCGGCGTTCTGACTGCACGTAAGCATTTATGTAACCAGGTTAAACCAACGACACCTGTTTAATATTCAAATGAAATAATAAACTGTTCCAAAGTAATCAGTTACGACAGTTTCTAACCTATATACATTGTACATCTATTTATACACCGTAAACAAAATCTTACATGAATAGCCGTATCTACTTAGGAACTTCAAACTATTTATTTGAACGCTTCATTAAGAATGAGTTGGCTCATTCTGTCGTTATTGCAAAGAAACTGGAAACATCAACTTTACTCAAACTCAAAACGCACGTCACAAACAAAAAGGTATCTTCAAAAACAGTGTTTTGAGATATCGTGTTTTGAAGTTTTAAAAAATAATAGAAGCGGAACTAATTGTTGTAATGTTTAAAATGATACCTTGATTTATTTCTTTGTGTTGAGTGAGTTTAGTTAGTGTATCAATAGTAGTTTTTATTTTAAAAGTGAAGTTTTATGTGACTGGTTAATACCCTATAAGCAATTCAAATGGCTCTAATGGCTCATGTTAAAAAAAACTAGTTTCATTTGAAAATAATTTCGCTGAAAATAACATATTATCTTACCAGTTTATACAGAAAAATATGTAGTTTTCGAAACGCAAATAAAAAAATAAATGGTTTTGCCGACTTAATATCCTATTGTTTGTGACGTGCGAAAAGTTATTTAACTTCTCTGAGTGCGACCGGTAAATATTTTTTGGCGAACTCACAAATACAAAAATAGTTTTTTAATAGTGAAATCAGTCAAAACAGTTAAAAAACAAAAAAAAACATTAAATGCAGTAGTTTCGGCGATAAGAGGAGGGTCAACAGGTCAATTTTCATCTATTTTATTTTTAATAATTATTATTATATACAGTTAGCTAGGTAAATTTTAATTTTCTAATTCACCAGACAAAATTTATTTCTTTATTTGCTTTATTCGTCCGTGTTTGGGTCACAGACATACAATTTTCGTCTCAAATTTTGACTTGATCCAATAGATTCCGAGCAAATCACCTGTGACAGACAGACAACCGAGTGGTCCAATAACAGTTCCGTTTTTGCCAGTTGTGGTACAGAACCCTAATACGATGGCTCAAAAATATTCAAACCAAATTAGTTTCGAAGCAACAAGATTTTGCCAGAGAAAGGAAACCCGTCTAACAAAAATTGTCGACTAATATCAAAAACTATTACGTATATCAAAAATTTTTATGACATAATGAAGTTGGCCGCCCGCCGCCGTCCAGTCTCAGATACCACAGAACGGAAACCAGTCCACGAATGTTAGACTGCTCGTCGCCCAGAGCCCCACCCACTGTTGGGCAATCACGTCGAGAATGCTGCGGTCGAAGGGCCGAACCCGTGTTTCGGCTAAAAAGAAAGCGACAGCATGTCTGACTTTTAATTAAAATTATATTGCACGTTTTTTTTTTTTATAGATAGGTCCGACAAATGACTTCACCCCACCTGATGTTAAGTGAAGGTGAAGTCCAGACGCGAAGATAGCTGATACAGCAGTTCTACCTGCCACACCAGCCATCCTCACCCTGCCGGCCTGCATGTTGCTTCTTCACGCCTCTTTTAAAGGATTCCAGGTTGTAAGAGGGAGGGAACACGTGAGCGGGCAGAGCATTCCATTTACGGATAGTGCGACAAAGGAATGAGTCATCAAATTCATGTTATAAATAAAGGTTCCAAATTTTTCGGTCATCTCTACTCGAACAAACTACCTAGCTATATTTGAAAATACATTGTAAGCTAACTCATATTATGTGTTATAACTTTTATTTTAATCATGTAGCTGCTCGATGTTTAAATCTAAAGAAAATATGACTAGAAAAAAATCCTTAAAACTAGCCTTTCTTCTTCGCATTGTAAAACGAATTCGATACGACCGCCAGGGCCGCGGTAGCATAATGGTCAGTGCATTCGCCCGGATAGCGAAGGGTGCGGGTTTGAGTCCCATCTGCTGCCTGGTCCGCGTGGAATTTTTTCTAGTCATATTTTCATATTATGTGTCTGAGTTCGTAGGTGCGTGTTAGATAAATACCATATTATTTATAATCGTGCGGGACTAGCACATTCAGTCTGCAAGCGTAGAACATAAGCAACTTTTTGCAAGTTATTCAGTTGCACTTTTCCAGAGCCAGCAGCTCTTGCACAAGGGAAAGAAAAACGGTACAGATCCGTTAGAAAAAACAAAAGAATAGTTTCGTTGCTGAGCAGAATCAAAAAAAGTCAATAAATTGGATAGCTGATTTATCTAGCATTGTGTTCGGGTGATGATGTATTGTTTTATTATTATTTTAATTATTTATTGTCTTTCGAAGACAGTGATGATGGGTTTTTTATTATTATAGCTTTTTCAATTGTGCTATCATAATTATTATTTCTACTAAATATAAATGACTAACATACAATAAAGTTTATTTAAAAAAAGGGATTTTAGTTATCTGGAATAAATTGGTTTTGTGAGTGTAAGAGTTACATAACCATCTCATCTGCAGGTACTCTTCTTTCCGGAGGTCGGATGCTGGTATCGACGAGCTGGCGCCTATCAGTGAGGCGTGCCGACGCCGCCTTCTGTGCGAACTTCATTCAAACACCAACTACATGGTGTAAGTAATACCATAATACCTAAATGTATACGTTGCAGAGTGTACGTAGAGAAGTCAAGAGAGAGTTATTCCTTTAAGAGAACTAAGACATATCGGATTTTCCCGTCTGGGAAATATATCAACCTGTACGGGAAATCAACCTCCACCTGTACGGGAAATCAACCTTCACCTGTACGGGAAATCAACCTCCACCTGTACGGGAAATCAACCTCCACCTGTACGGGAAATCAACCTCCATTTGTACGGGAAATCAACCTCCACCTGTACGGGAAATCAACCTCCACCTGTACGGGAAATCAACCTCCACCTTACAGAAGACGACAGTAAAATAACGCTACCTTTTGGTGGTGTCGTGTTTCTGTCGGTGAGCAGGTTCCAGGGCTCCACGGGGTAGAAATTAGGTCAGGGCAGGGTAGGCAATGGCGCGAATTTTGTTATTGGTATCACAAGCGTCTACAGGATATGGTGGACGCTTACCATCAGGCGGGCCATACGCTTGTTTTCCATCCTTTAAACATATAAAAAAAATGCTCACCCATCCAGTCTCAAACCTAAAAGACTCACCTTTGCAAAATTTATTTTGACTTCTCAATAACTCCGCCATTTAATCATGCTGCATGTGCCCTTTAGGGTGAAGCCAAACGAGCGTAATTTAGTGAGTTGTGAGTCGCTTATTTTCGGTCACTTATTTTACGTTCAACTGAATTTCTGTTGAGCTGCCATACGAACGTAATTTATTCAATTACTATTGAGCGTTAGTACGGGGTGTTCGTGTCGTCGAGTGCAATGGATCCATTAAAAATATTGTGTATTTACGAAGCATATTCAGAAGATGAGGCCAGAAAAAGAAACTGGGTAAACCCACTGAATAGTCAGAGGCTGATATGTGGACAGTTCCATACTTTATATGAACGTTTATGTGCAAATCCAGATATTTTTGAAAAGTACTATCATATGCCATTACGTGTTTTTCAAGAATTATTACACCACGTAACTTGTAACAAACTGTTGCTTCCCCACTCCCCTTCCTTGCCCTACCCTCACCCCGACCGAAATTCGGACGAGCTTATGCGCATTGATTCGGCAGACAACTCATTTTGCGTTGTTGTGTGGCACCAACTGCCTTTTTGTATGAAACCGAATGCAGCAGAATTTCTGTGACCGAAATTCAGCGACTCACCACTCACAAAATTACGCTCGTTTGGCCTCACCCTTAATTCTCCTATAGCATAAGTATATGTGAAAATATACATGTTAAACAAAATATCGGAGCTTATGAATTGTCGAATTTTCCCTGCACCCTAATATGTATTATTTATTCAGATGCGAAATAAAAACTGGCGAAAATGATACTTCACAACATCAAACAGAATACAGAACTAAATAATGACACCTTTTTACTATATATTTTTTATCTTTATTTGGGAAACAAACAATGAAATAACATATAGATCTAATTAACAAAACATACATCAGTAAAGTTTCCACTATTACATATGAAGGAGGTTTCATTGATGACCTAAAGGTCTTTGTTACCAGGTCATAAAATTAAAAAAAAAAGAGGTTAGATTGTTAAAATCGAGAAAGAAAAAAAATATTTGTTTCTTAGGTTTTCACGCACATCACTCATTAAATAAAACTAGTTTTTACGAGCACGCACTAAATTAAATTAATTAATTAATTTAATGCACGAAACTAAAGGCTACGAAACGTCAATAAATAAATCAAATTTCTATTTTAATAGAGCTTTGATTCTATTTTAATAGAAATTTGATTCCAACGACGACGTAGCCTGTAAAGGCTACGAAACGTCAATAATTAAATAAAGTTTCGTGCATTAACCCGTAAAAACTAGTTTTATTTAAGAAAAAAATGTTTACTTTTTTAACCAATAAAAAAATGTCACAAGTTTTGTAGGTTACAATTATAATTATTAACTACCTACAACATATTATATCGTGTTTATATTTTTTCCAATGATTGGTAGAAAATACAAAATTATTGTTCTCGCAGAATCAATACATGATTCAGGATGAAAATTATTTAATTGAATTGAGTTAAACCGTTTTTCCCATATGTGTTTATTCGTAAGAAAGTCTCCAGCAGTTGAGATAATAATTAAAAAAAAACAATAATGAGGTGGACAGTAACATTGAAACAAATAAAAATAGTTTATCCAACGGAGAAAGCATTATCTTAAGAAGCATAATTTGTGAAATTTACAAACCTGCTACATCACTAGGCAAATCTACGGTGGAATGTCTCAGAACCTGTCCACAGACAAATTATCCTGTTTTATTACAAATGAAATGGTCATTTTTGAAATTGTCGGCAATATGAAGCGGTTATGATAACAATAATAAAAACTTAGATAACTCTAGTTAGATTATTATCTAACTCTATTTAAAGAAAAGGGGCTATAAAAATAATGCTACGTATAGATATGATCGAGGAGCTCGACGGCGCAAGTGGTTAGCGCGTTCGGCTGCGATTGTTGAAGCAACTTTCGAAAGGTCGGTCATTGGATGGGTGACCAAAAATTTACTATCTCGAGCTCCTCCGTGCTTCGGAAGGCACGTTAAGCCGTTGGTCCCGGCTGCATCTGCAATCGTTAGCTCCCACCAATCCGCACTGGGCCCGCGTGGTGGGTCATGGCCCAATCTCCCTATTCCATCCATAGGGAAGGCCTGTGCCCCAGCAGTGGGGACATTAATAGGCTGCTGATGATGATAGGTATGCTGAAATTAATGAAATAATTGTAATTAGTAATATGAATATAATTAAATATGACAATTAATTTGCACACCCCATTGGATAAGAATATAGGATGCTTTATTTCTTTGTATCACAATTTGTTACCATAATCTGCAAATAAAGATGATTGATTCGCTTAAAATATTCGCAACAGCACACACACCTGGGTGTTGTGTGCTGTTGCACGTGTTTTGTGAAGAATGGGAAATGTGTATTTGCACTTTTTTAACATAGAATCTCTTATCTTTTTCCAAAAGCATCCAGACAGGAAGGCGGAAGGCTCGTCAGTGCTTCAAGATCCGTTGTGAGGACCCACAAGCTCTCTCCAAGATGCTGCAATGGCTCCTGTCCCAGCATCAATCCACCGGAAGAGGGCAACACCTTACTTAGCACACTTGATAACGATAAAATTTTAAAAAAAGTTTATTGAATTAAAATAAAAATTATATACGAGTATAATTAATATATATATATATATATACATACAGGGTGTTACAGAATTCCGAAATACAATTTGTAGGTATCTGAGCGGGGTGCAGGGGCGCCTGGGGGAGAGAGGGGGGTCTGTTTAGGTAGTAGTAATCGTACGCATTTATAGGGTGGTCATAGGCAGGTGTAAAACGATATTTTTATTAATTTAATTAGAAAATAAAAGTGGTCTGAAAGGCGTCAAACTTTCGTAGGAACTTTCTATACAAGGAACACAACCAAACCCTAAAGTTTTATTTCGGACTTTTGTCACCCTGTATATATATACTTAATTACAATTTGTTTCCTGTGCAATACTCAAAGTACGAAAAACTCTATCAACAGAGCTTTGTAATATTTGATTTAGAAATTTATAAGATTTTTCATAATATAACAGATAAAAAAAAATGTGTTTGCTGTTTCCTTTTGACGTCCTTTACTAATAATTTGTTTTGTTTTTAACTCAATCACCACTAAATTATTGAAGAGATTAGGTGTTATTTATTTTATGGATTAAAAAAAATATATACAGGAACAATGAACCTAAAACTAAAAACCTTATAAAATATAATATATTAACTAAAATTAACATTATGTACAAAAATAATATTCAAATATGGTGATATTTGAATTTTCGTTTCTGGTGCAAAGTAAAATTTATAAATAAAAATAATAAACGAAATACAATAAAATTTATTTTATTGTATTCTTGTTGTACATTTCTCTACCTTTAGCACGAATCAATACCGAATTCGTATAGTTTGTGAGTCCGAAATGTCATTGTAAACTATTCGAATTTGAAATTGGTTCGTGCTAGGGGGGTACAGTTCTTAGATTAATAGGGATAATGACTAATATATTTTTTTCTTCGTTTATCAGGTAGATTATCAAAAAGTATTGGTACACGTATTTTTTCTTTTTTCACGGTATATAAACATTGCAGAGATATATTGATTTGAAAAGTCGCATGACGTCACGTTTGAGTATACTTTTAAGCGAATATTCACTAAAAAGTGACGTCACTAGCCCCTACTCCCAAACTTTGACGCGCTATAACTTTGTCATTTTTTGGTTGATTGCCCAAAGAAAAAATACGTGTCCATTATTTTTTTGATTATCTAACTGACGGACTAAATAGAATTTCGTTTACTGTACCCCGTCATCACCCCTATTGTAGTTACAAACAAGAACCCTATGAAGGCATCGCAATTTTCTTATAGACTATTATTGTACTAAAATAATTAAATTGCGTTTTTTACAAATATAATTGATATTACAATGAACGAAAGATGATCAAAATTTATCATCGAGATATTCTTGCAAATTATAATAAGCCTTATTTTGGAAAATCATTTTTTTTTGTCAAATTCACGAGGGCATTGGAGTGCTTTTATAAATTTAATGAATACCTATACCATAATGTAGAGAGATTTCTTACATGCCGGAAATATAGTAACATGTAACCCTGTAATTTATACGAACAAGAATTTTATTAAACTTAATAAATAACGAGTGTGCTTATAACCACACGACTGAAGTGAAACTTCTTTAGCTCCATCTGTATATATATATGAGTGTGTGTGTATGTGTACAATATATATCTATGTACATATACATATTTCATTTACTAGCTATAAGAGAAAGAGAGAAAGAAAATGTGCACGCGCACTGACTTTAAAGTGAACAAATATAATGTCGTGCTTTGAAAATGCCCATCATCTATTTAGATAGTTGTCGCCAGTATGCTATTTTGACATTGGATGAAAGAAGAATGGTTTTAGACATCGGGAATCTGTTACACGATATAATAAACGGCAGGTTGGACTGTCCGGATCTGTTGGCGAGGATGGGACTGAGCGCGCCGCGTCGACGAACTCGACATACCCCTCTACTTCATGTTCCGTTTCACCCAACCAACTACGGAAAAAACTCGGTTCTTTCGCGTTTGTGCCAAACATACAATGATAAGTTTTCAAAAATCGATCTTTTTGCTTACTCCAAAATTTAATTTTAATCCAGAATTATTGATAACAAGCTCGGCGACACTGTGTAGCATTGATACGTGGTTGTTTATGCATAAAATATTTGTCTTATTATTTTATATTTGTTCTTGAGTGATTATCATTATGTAATTTTTATTTTTGAAGTTATACTTCTTTAGGCGCGTTATGAAAAAATGATGAGGGTGAAATTTTAAGATGCGCGCGCATCACTGTAACACAAAATTTTAACAGCATGAAGTTGGTCGCTTTAGCGACCAACTTCATGCGTTACTTTTGTGTTTACCGCACATTAAGAAAATCTACCAACAAAATAGAAATAAAATCTCTATTTAGCGGGTGCTAACGACTGCATTGTGAAGGCCTATCAAAAGTATTTATTAATCTGGAACAACGGAACCAAAGCGTGATTCAGGAGACTACAGCGCCATCTCTTGACCATTGGTGTAGTAGAACCAAAAACCACATCTTTATTTTTTATAATAAAGTAACAGTTATAGGTATTCATATTTATAATATTTATCCACATGTTTCTAGTTTGTATATTCGGAATACGTGTTTGAGTTTCATACAAGTGCAAATCACATAATTATGTTCTAATAAATTATATTCAGTAGCGATTTTAATTGAATATTTTGATTATTTATTTATTTTTTCAAATTAAAACTGAACTTTATTGACTGTGTCCTTTTCCAGACTTTTTATTAATTTATTGTAATTAATTATTTGCATGCAATTAAAAACTAATTTTAAACGATGCCAAAGAAGGAATACCTTCTCACGCGCCTACAAAAGTACACGCACCCATTTTTTACTTAGCAGCACGATTTAATTTTAAATCTTTAAAAACACTTTAGGTGGTTGTGTGTAGGGTTGCAACGATATATCGGAATATCGATAATATCGATAATATCGAGACCAAAATATAGATATTTATATCGATATTTGAAATTCACTGATATCGATAATATCGATATCGGAAATTCCAAAATATCGATATTTCGTGGACTAAATTTAAACACAATAATATCAATTGATTTACCTGCTATGACTATCTAAATTGAATAATATCGAAATAACTATTGCTTTGAAATCGCAAGAGCTTATAGATGTATTAAAAAATCTAGAACCCCAAGAAATATACTAAACTACAACAGTGTATCCTTGTCATTCTCTATACAGAATGAAAAGGAGAGACTGATGTTAAATTTAGTTTTAAGTTGAGATAATCATGCCAGAATCGACACCAACGTATATAGGTATAATCGTATACCTAATGGTAACTCATGCATTTAAATAAAATACTTGCCTCTCTTTCTAGATAATTGTCAACTACTGATTAATTAAAATTTAATATCATTGTAATATAACACAAAATAAAATTAAGAATCTTATCTTATACAAATCGTAATTTTTTTAAGCTCGCCAAGCCAAGAAAGTAAGATAGGTATAGTAATTTTGGAAGCTTTGGGCTTACCCTATTCTAAAGCCATGGGCACGCCCCTGATGTGTAGGTTTTACTAATACATAACAATTGTTTTTCATATGATTATCTATTCTGATTTTGGCTGCGTGCAAACATTTTAAACAAAAAAAATATCTTTGATTCGAAATTGCTTTTGATTTGATACTTCTTACAGCGCTATAAAAATATAGAAAATGTTGGAATGGCTGATATATCAGATCGGATATCGATATTTCTGCCCACATTATAAATATCGATATTTCGGAAACCTTTGCTCCCTTAATTATAGGTTTTTGCTTTGCAAACTTAATACAAAGCAAAAAAAAGAAAAAATATCGATATATCGATAATATCGAGTTAAAATGGTCGATATATCGGATATCGATATTTTCCTGACTTCGATATAAATATCGATATAAATATCGATATTTCAAAAGACTTTGCATCCCTAGTTGTGTGCAATTGCACATGCATAATTATGCAGGGCGGGATATAATATAGTAAAATGGTTAGCATTTCGTGGCCAATTAACTGTAAACATTTGTTTTCATAGATACCCATATCGTTTGGAAGGCATTTTGTTGAGTTATAGAAGCTGAAATAGAATTGCTTTCAGTATTGTTTCCACCAGTATGGATTTTACTTAGCTTAAGGCAGTTGAATGTTTCTGACCGTAAACACAATATACTGTATTTAGCCTTACTGTTGGTTTACACTATACTTAAATACTTTTGTAAACGCCGTTGATTTTCAAATAAATAAATAAAAATAAAACAAATAAAATTAATGAACATCAAACAAACACATATATTTCATAATCTCACGTGTCCCGCGAACAGCTCTGGGAGCCGATGGTGTTGTGTTGTGACACAACACCACCTTCCTTTTGTGTAACGAAACCTGTGGTTCCAGAAGATGAGCGACAAAAAGTTTGGAAAGCTCTACGGCGTTATTATCATGTAAGCAAAGAAAGACAAAGCTTCATACGGGATTGTTACCATGTACCTTTTTGCTAGAGAGTTTCCGATATTTCGGCACTTGCAAGCGCCATGATCATTGAGAAGCGATTGAAATAACAAAACATAAAAATTTCAATCGTGAGGACGGGTTTAAATTGTCGAGTGTCTGGAATCCTGTGGTTCGTCTATGTACAACCGGAAATAATCAAAAAAGTGTCGTGTCGTGATCCGATACTGTAAGTGTTGTGTGTCGAGAACAGTTTCGAGTGAATAGTGAGAATGTGAACAGTGGTACGGGTATCGAACGCAATAAAAGACTTCGTCGGAGGGTAGACCGATATGCCTGCCAATAACAGCCTACCCGCAATTACTTCAGTTACTCCGTGATCATGGTGCTTGCAACAGTGCCGAAATATCGGAAACTCGCTAAAAACAAGGTACATGGTAACAATCCCGTAAATAACTTATATTACTATAATGTTAGTAGACCATGAAAGTTTAAAACAATATAATGCTTCATACATTTGTGCGTGTGTGAATGACCACTGGCGCGTACGCAGAGCA